ATTCCAGAAACCCAATAGAAGAACAAAATTCTACAAGCAGTTAGAGAAAAGAAACAAATCACATACAAAGGAAAGCCCATCAGAATCACAGAAGGCTTCTCAACACAAACACTCAAGGCAAGAACAGCTTGGAGTGACATATTTCAAGCCCTACAGGAAAACAACCTGCAACCCAAATTGGTGTACCCTGCAAAACTACCTTTCAAAACTGATGGAGAAACAAGATACGTTCATGAAAAAGAGCAACTTAGGAAATTCATGAATACCAAACCAACCAGCACTTCAAAAAATTTTAGACAATATCCTAGGAAAAGACAAAGAGGATCACAACCTCAGGAAGCACAGCAGAATAAATCCATTAGGCATGACAAGAAATTAAATGCAAAGAGGGAGAATCCAACAAAAAGAAAAAGTCATGGCAATGATAAGTCAATATGTATCAGTTGTAACCTTCAATGTTACTGGTCTCAATTCACTGATTAAAAGAAATAGACTGGCAGAATGGATCAAGAAGCAAGACCCAACAATATGCTGCATACAAGAAACACACTTAATTCAAAAGGAAACTCATAGACTGAAAGTTCAAGAGTAGAAAACAATATTCCAGGAGATAGGAACCTGAAAAAAACCAGGAGTAGCTATTCTCTTCGCAGATCAAGTGGATTTCAAACCAACACTGATTAAGAGAGACAAAGAAGGACAGTACATCCTTGTAAAGGGAACAATCCAAGAGGAAGAGATGACAATCATAAACATATATGCACCAAACACTAGGGAACCCAACTATATAAAACAAATACTAACGAACATGAAAAATCAAATAAGCACTAATACAATAGTAGTGGGAAATCTCAATACTCCACTGTCCCAAATAGATCGATCAACTAGACAGAAAATAAACAACGAAATACTAGAACTCAATCAAACTCTTGAACAAATGAACTTAACAGACATTTACAGAGTGTCCCACCCCACAAAATCAGAATACACATTCTTTTCAGCTGCACATGGGTCGTTCTCCAAAATAGACCACATACTCACTCATAGAACATGTTTAAATAAGTGCAAAGAAATTGAAGTTATCCCCTATATACTATCAGCCCATAGTGCAATGAAATTGTAGATCAATAGCAAAAGAAATCCCAAAAATTTCATAAACACATGGAAATTGAACAACACACTTCTGAATAACCAATGGGTCACAGTGGAAATTAAAGAAGAAATCAGACAGTTCCCACAATTAAATGACAATGACAATGCAGCATATTGTAATCTATGGGACACAGTGAAAGCAGTCTTACGAGGGAAATTCATAGCACTGAATACTCATAATAGGAAATCAGACGGAGCCCAATTAAACAACCTGATGCTGAACCTCAAGCTTCTAGAAAAAGAAGAGCAGGACAAACCCAAAGCTCATACAAG